CAATAAAGTATTTTGCAAAGGCTAGCAAAGCAGGTATCCACTCGGCAAAAATGTGGGGGCAGACAAAATGCTTTACGAAGGTGCCACGTTGGAATCATGTTATCTGTCACCCCTTGCTTTCTCACTGCACTAAGGTTAACTCCACTCCAACAAATGACCTCAAATAACTACCCCTGAATGCGCTTAACACCATTAATACTGTCATATTCACAACATTAACAACATCATAAAAGGACTGACTGTAATAGCTATTGTATGGGAAAGAAAAAACATGAAATTGTTTCAACAGTTTACAATGATACATTAGAGAAGTCTTTCCTTCCGCCTTTTCTGTATAAACATTGTCAGCTTAGAAATGTCAAAAAAAACCTTTTCTTTGGTTGAGTTAAAAACCTCAGCCACAGACAATACCAACATGGTAACGTCTTTAAGACAATGCAACTGTTTCCACATTTGTGACTGTCACAACTGGTCCTGAAAAACTTTAGAGAACAGACTAGACCGAAGTGGAATTTAGTTAAGGAATTCATCATCATCAGTCCTAGTACTGAGGTCCTCGGCTTTTAAAGATTCACACCGGGATATTGTCTGAGCCAATAACCCTTCAGATAGCCTCTTGCCTGTTTAAATTAGAGAGGGTTCGTGTGACAAAAGCAGCACCTCAATCATTCACACACAGTTTTGAGTTCATTCCAAAACTCTACTTGTGACTGATTCTTAAACTCATGTAAGCATGAGAACAAACACTGCAACTTAAACCTCCTTCTGGAAAATTATTACTCTGAAATAAGAGTTACACCTTCACTGCGTGGCAGGGCTTTCACCAGGAAGAAACAATAGTGATGCAGTTACAACATTAGCTGAGGTCAGTTGCTTCACTTCCACATCCTTAAAATACAGAAGGCGAGGCTTTTTATAGCAACAGAAAACTGCTTTGACTTTTATCAAAGGTATTAAAACTGTCCCTCAGACGTTTTGTGCAATTAAGTTCTCTCCAGCATTACCTGCAGCTCCTGCTGTGAGGTCAATAGCAGCCTGAATAGCGGAGTTGATCCTCATGCTTCACACTTGTTTATCAGTTACTTTAGAGTGAAGTCTCCCCGTTTCCCGGCAGGTGTGGAGATACTGGTCTCCTGAGGGAAGAGAAACATGAAGCATACATGATTTACAACAATAATTCTGACAGGCAAAAACATCACACGAATGCTTTCACTTCCACTCTTCCATTTAGCTTGTTTTAAACCATTTAGAAACAGAAAATGCTTGTCCCGGGGACTGAGATGTAGCATATTTGTATTTTGACTGACTAGTTTTGCCACATTAGCCAAGTCCTCTGGAGTATCACTGCCTAGCTTCAGATTACTTGGGCTTTCCACCTTCTAGTCTCCCTGGATCACTCAAATGAAAGTAAAGAGTACCTCTGGGGAACAGTGTTGAGCTTTACCTTTCTATGGATTATAGAAGCATAGTCTCCATCAGATGTCTAAGGCTAGCTGGCAGGAATACTTCCCCCCCATCTCAGCTCCCCACCCATAAAGCAAAACAGAGAATAGCTCTCCTCATGGTGAAGAGCAGCTAAGAAAACTGTATCATGATGATACAGGCACATTAGGTATTTCTATATGGCTCTCAGAAGATACAAGTAGAAAGGGAATGAATCTGAACATCTAGAATTGTGTCTGGCTGTCATGTTCCCAGTGCAAGTCCTCCACACACCAGCACATTATAAATAAGAATTACAGCTCATCTTTCAGGAAGGTGGCTGGAAAGCAGAAATACAAAGGTGATACTTTCAAATAAAACATGCAAATGAATTCATTTCTCAAGTTTGCAGCAAGGTACTTTCACTGGGTGAGCAGTTAAAACAAGCTTCCTTATCTGGAGTAAAATCATTGAGCCAAAGAGCTCCCACTGTTTCAGAATGCTGCTGCTGAGCAAGACACTAGGCTAGCAGTGCTGTCAAAAAGGTTGCACAAGTCTTAAAAAACACACAAATACAGACATGAATCAGCCCCTCATTGACTTTTAACCCTGGCTTCAAGTATAGTACATTAGTAAACAGAACGTTTTTCACTCTTCTACCTACTGTAATGCTTCTTTTGAAGCCTGTTGCCTCCTAAAATATATTTTGGTGTAGTACAAATGGGAAACATAATTTCCAATAGGCTACTTTTCAAGATTAAAAAACCACACTGTATGAACCACACCCTTTGCACAACTTTTACCTTACAAGCACGGACACTTGCATACAAGCAAGGCTTTAAGGAAGCCAGTCTCTAAACAGATTTATTACTCCTGAAGCTTAAAAACCCCCAAAACAGTAGTCCAAATACCATCATCACTCACTAACTTCACATGTCCAATCTGTTTAAGATATGTTGCATGAATCTGAACATAATGGGTTAAAAAAAAATTCACTACTTTTGTAATAAATGGCACTAATACATGCTCTTTCCAAATTGTGGTTACAGATTTGAACCATTTCACTACTGACAGCATAGTATGCTAGGTGTTCTTTCAAAACACAGGCTCCAAGATCAACTTAGACTTCATTATCCTATATACCTCATTAGCGTTCACACAGCACTCCGCAGTTTTGCTTCTCATTTACACGAGCAACAGATCAGCGAGACAGCCTCTGAATGAAGTGAATTACTAGAGAGCAATAACTGCCTGCATTCACTAAAATGTACACTGCTTGCATCATGCTGAGCGCTTATCAACTTGTGCCAGTCCCCAAAGGGAGCACATGGCAAATCACCCACAGATACCCACTGAAAGCTTGGCAGTAGAAGGAGAAACAGGGATGCCTATAAAAATACAGAAGTTTTAAGAGCCAATGAAGTTTAGTTTCCTGATCCATAAGAGCACATTTTCACTTTCAGAAGATTTAAGACTTAGTCAAAACTACACCAGTATTATGTACATACATACCTTCCCTCCTATTTTTTTCCTATTTGTAATAACACTAGCAGATTAAAAACTGCTTGTAGATACAGCAAGGCAACAACTGCTCTTACTTCCAAAGCAGATCCAAGCCTCAAACCTGGAAACACAGAAGCATTACTCAGCGTAACAGGTCCTCCACCCGCAGCCCCAGAAGTTATTCTCTACTGACGCATTCTCCAAACACAAAGTGGATAAACCCAAAAGGTAGCACTGCTCCTCGGAAGA